TAAAAAAAAGCTTTCACTTACACTACACCTTATTTGTTGAGTAAATATTTAGAACTTTTCCAAATTACTTCCAGTAGTAGTTTTAAGGTGCTTCCCAGTTACAAACTTCTGAAGCTGAAGATTAGGAACTTACGATTCAATATTGTATTTTATTTAAACTGGTACCTCAATTTTAGAGATTACATTACCTATGTAAAATTAGAGATAAGATGAATCGCATGTTTTTTAATTGTTTTAATTTACTGAATCACTCTGTAATTGCTGTAGGCGACGGTGAAAAATGGCAATGCCAATCCTCAGCCTTTTTGAGCGTTTTTTTAATGTATATATATATATATATATATAGGTGAAAAATTAAAGCTTCCGCCTTTTGTTGGGTACTTCGACAAAATTTAAGCAAAGAGGACTCTTTATACTTTTTTTAATTCTCTCTAGCTTTCAATGGACTTTGCCATCATCATCAGGAGCTGCAATTACAATGATAACGGTAGCAACAAAAGTGTAAAATGAATTTAAATTGACTCAACTTACAGTTAAATTCATTTTACACTTTTGTTGCTACCGTTATCATTGTAATTGCAGCTCCTGATGATGATGGCAAAGTCCATTGAAAGCTAGAGAGAATTAAAAAAAGTATAAAGAGTCCTCTTTGCTTAAATTTTGTCGAAGTACCCAACAAAAGGCGGAAGCTTTAATTTTTCACCTAACTGGTCTAGACGACAATGACCACGTCTCAAAATATATATATATATATATATATATATCCATTTTGTATAAGTGCTCCAATAAACATTATTATTATTATTATTTGAATGTTAATGAACTTTTCAAGTTAAATAGCGATCTCGAAACGATTGGTTAGGCTGATGACACAGTGATTATTTATTCAGACTGAGATCGATCGTCCAACAACATTTTATTGGATTTTTAGAAGGTTATATAGTTTTCCGTTACGTATGGTCACCTTAATTCTTCGACCCGTCTGCTGTGCTGGCCCCGAGATAACTAGCTTGAAAAGAGCAGTCACAGGTACAGGGGTTGAATGATGTATATGTTGTTATTCATTGCCGACGACAAGGGTTTGGGCAGCAGCCCTTTACTGTCTGTACCACAAGATATTCAAGGGTTGGTGACATATATATCTGTACGTCTCACGCAAATCTCCAAAATTCTCACACATTTCCAATTTAAACTTACTATCAAAAACAATACCGATTGTCATTTATTACCAGTTGCGTGGGTGAATGGTTATTTACATTGCAAGGGTAATACTACAACTTATCGGCTGGCCTGAATTTTGGTCACACTTTCACAACAGTTTCACCATATTTGTATGATATTTCGATAATTATTTATACAGGGTGAAGAAATTAGTATAGAAATTTGATGTCAAAAATTACCAAAAGTCGATTTTTTCAAATGAAAACCCCCTATTTTTATAAGTTTATCGCATCAAGCATTAAAAATTCGCGTAACTTTCACAGGGCTATCTATCCCAAAAATGTTTACTTTTCCAGTAATTTGCAACTTATTACTTTGCTATTGTAAAATTCCTATAAGTACAGATTTAGTTTTTTAATTAGTTGGTTATGACGGCGCCGGCGGGGGCACTACAGAAATATCACTACATAGTTAATCATTTTCATGTATTCTTAATCAGAATAATATGAATTATTATGATTAGTTTGCTAGTAGATTTCCAAACAAGCACACATACAGTGAAATGAATAACAGGAAACAATAAGCTATTTCACACATTCCCGATTTATACTTACTATCAGGCTCAAACGAGAGACACGGTGACAAAAATAATACCGATTGTCATTTACTCGTATTACCTGGGTGAAGGGTCATTTACATTGCAAGGGTAATACTACAACTTATCGGCTAGCCTAAATTCTGGTAGCACTTTCACAACACTTTCACCATATTTTTAGAATTGGTCGCATACGGCAGACCCAGTGGCGTAGCGTGGGTTTTTGCCGCCTGGGGCCGCCGGCAAATTTGCCGCCTTTCTCTATTCTAATTATGAGCTTAGAAAATTAGTATAGGTCAAAAATTTGCCGCCATTCTGTATTCTAATTATGAGCTTAGAAAATTAGTAAAGGTAAAAAATTGAGATAAACCCTCCCCACTCCCCATAACTCCCACCCCCCAAGTCTTTTCAGCTCTAAAATGTTTTTCAAAAATGAGATTTTGGAGATTTTTACTTTTTTCGTTTTTCTCTGCCGTCACTAAACCGATCTTAGCTTTGTTTTTATTATCACGCCAGATTTATAAATTATGTTGTCCTTTCAGTTTAGAACACAGAACCCCTGTATGTATAAAAATATTTAGTATTTGTCGACGAATCTGAATATGCACTTTGCAATTCCAGACTCGTATCGCTCTCGTTGGTCTGGCATTATCATCCCCACAGAGGCAAAATTAGTGTGTAGTAGATTCGAAAAACAACATTTTCCGGGAAGCCTCATGCATCTATGTGGGATACTGTGAAATCGTGATCAGAATAGGAGATTAATAATATTATTAAGCCTACCTGCCACTCAGCTTTCAGAGAGAAAGGGATTTTTTTTATGTACCCGATTTGTGCTTCGGGGATTCACTCCTAATAAAACCACAATCTATCAATGAAGCAGCAAATTAACGAAAAAGGAGCAGAATACATGATGTGTAATGCTGCAGTAGTTGTAGAAAAACCATCGCTACAGTGTTTACGCTGGTGAACAAAATTGAAATAATTTTTTGTGACATGGACAAAACAAGGTGGTTATCATGTAAAACATACCGATAAAGCCGGAAAGAGCATTCGATTTTTTCTATCACCCACGCTTATACTCGTAAAATATAACGATATGTGTGTAAGATTACTAATAAACTCTCGAATAAACATTAATCTCAGGATGTTGTTGGCGAATACCTTTAATATTTGTAAGGCAAAAATAGCAATCAGTAGTATGGTCTCTCGGTTCTCTCCAAACCATTGGTATCGCAAAGAGCATTTTACGATTGTCGCCTCTTAACCAACCTGTTAACAACGTTACACATATATGAGGGGGCCATAGTTTATCTTGGGCGCCAACTTTAATTCCAAAATAAAGTTCGTATGCTTTCAACACAAGGGGAGTAAAAGTACGTTTTTGGGATTTAAAAGTTAGCTCCCCGCACACATAACAAAAGCTGTTTGCACTATTTAGATAATTTCTAGGCATTGTCCATGAAGCTACTCTCGATCACAATAAACTAAAAACAACACACCGTTTTAACCTAAATTAATAGTACTCAGAACATCTCAGTACCCTTCAACACAGAAAACGTAACTGACTCGGCTGCTATTAGTCTATTAATAAACGCAATATGCTCTCTAGGCATAGAGCTCGCATATAATAAACAGGAATAGACAGGTCTTAATATTATATATGTGCGTCATCGCATAAACGCCGAGAAATGCAGGAATATGAGATGTTACGTATTGTAATTCATAAAAGTAGATGTTACCGAATATCTGTGGGCTATAGAAAAATTCTGTTTTTAGATTTAAGGGTCTCAAAATACATAAGATATACCCGAAAATTGTCATGTCACAAATCCGGTGTTTATCAGTGTTATCAAAAATTACTTAAGAAAAACTAATTTCCTATAACACCCGTCAAGGGGCTGTCTCTTTGAGACGAAACTGTATTCGAAAAATCATGGCAGGATAAAACAATCTTACGACAGTTCAAACATTTATCCTTTGAACTTTTGCCTTACGTACGGGTCACCCTATATAACGACTGTGTCGAGCTCTCAAGGTCACATAAATTCACCTAAAAGTCTAACGTAATTCTCACGGAGTTGCGCTGCTGTATTGTCTGTAGTCAAACGTATGTTATGTGAAGCTATAATTTTTTTTTTTGCTTGGTGTACAAATAACGATCATAAAAGGGGCGAGTTCTGACAGGGATATAATAATACTCCAAAAGAGTTTCCATATTTCCATCCGTACGAGCATCTTTTTCTGCTGTCTAACAGTAGGGGAGTTTTTGTCCATTAACCCGCAATTTAGGTGGGTAAAGGGTCAGTGTAATTTCACCGTGTGTTAAGAGGGGCGTTTAAACGCGTCAATCATGGATCGCCCCAAGCTTTACTATTTATGAAAAATAAATAATTAACAACAAAAAATTGACACTGACAGGCAGGACATAGGATCAGAGTAGGTATTAACACGAATGTAAGGATATGTTGCCTTTGATGCGGGTCATTTTTATTTTTAGCGAAAAAATTTTTCGAGACAGGTATAACCCTAATTTATTTACTCAAATAGAGTGAAATGTAGAGTCCCATGATATGGCTTGTGAGATTTGTATCATTATCTGGTAATTCATTTTCTATGCTAAAGGTGGGTATGTCATTTATAAATGCGTATTATTTCAGCTTTATTTAATTTGTGGATGTTAATAAAGAATTTCCTATTTATTTTTAAAATTTCGTACGCTATTTCGCTAATTAATCTTTATTCTTCAGTAGCATCTCCGCCACGAAGGCTGGCTATCTACCGATTCCTTAACCAATGTTACCCTTTATGCTCAGTTGAAATAACATGTATTTCTCTCCACGGTTAATGTGTCCTAAATATTGTTAGCATTAAATAGAAGCACCGAGAAAGCAGCATCTGAGCATCTCTGACCTCAAAGTCGAACCAAGACTTCGGCTACACAGTGAATGCCTCATGTTGTTGAACACACTCCGAGCTCTTTCTCTTTTGATCCTCATTTCCTTTGTGCTATCATTAGATTTGCTGACGTTTGTTCCCAAGCAGTTATACACGCTCACTCTTTCAATCTGTTGCTTTTTCACATACATGTTGACTTTGTTAGCGTATTGTTTTGTTATTATCATGCATTTTGTTTCCTTTATGTTCAGCGACCTGTTCACTTACTCGCGATACTCGTTGAACTTCTATAAAGATCGTCAATATTTTCTGCAAGAAGTACGGTACCGTGAACGTATCTAATATTTCACAAAAGGTGCTCATTTATTTTTATGCCTGCTGTTTCGTCGTGAAGCGATTTCTGCAATATACATATATTAAATAGCAAGCATGGTAAAACGTAGACTTGTCTCATGTCTATTTAAATTTTCATTTTGTGATGCAATTATTTATACGTACTGAAGTTTCTTGTCCATAGTAGAGATTACGTATTATTCGGATGTCCCTTATTTCTATATTTTTCTTTTCAAGTAACTGTATTAATATTGTATGTTGAATGTCATGACCGTCTTGAAATTGCTTAGGAATCACTAGATTTCATTATTAACTTTCTCGTTACTTGCTTTTGTTGTAGGTCTAGCAACATCTTATGTCAAACAGTTTATCAAGTTAGTGGATCCAATTTGTTTGTGCATCTGAAAGAATTATTTATATTTACTTTTACTTATTGCATGTCTAAGTTCTCCTGCATTTAGTATAGAGGTTTATATGTTAGGAATATTTAAAGATACTCCAGCCGGGTGGAGGCATGAGCAATACCTTTCATAAACTTTCTAGCGTACCAGAGAACTGTGGCAAAACCAGATGTCGACGAATGTTGATGACAGACGCGATCCTCAGAAACTCTAGGTGCCACAGTCAGCTTGGATATAGCTAGAAACTAACTTTGCCAGCTTATTGTCATTGTCACTTCATTTTTACTTATTGCACTGAACCCGCGTATACCTCGAGAAAACTGTTGAAATATTTCATTACTCCCTAATGCAACTATTGTTGGAGTGCAGCTCCGTTGATATTCTTGGAGGATAACAGATTTTCCAGTGGCAAACATTTTTTCGGCCAATACAGCGAAGAATTTTGACAAAATATACTAAGTGACATATAAATCCGAACACCCAGTTTAAATGGTTTTATTTTAATAAAATTTTGTATAAGTACTTAATGAAGCATAATAAGTAAATGATAAAAATTTCAAAATGATTGCACTTCTTTAAAGCCCTTTGACCTTTAATAATGTGTGGATGCACCCTGATGTGCTACGCATTCTCCAACGCGCCTAGGCATGCTTCTGATCAGGTGGTCAATGTCCTCCTGTGGTATCTCATTCCAGGCAACCACCAACTCCTCTCGAAGTGCTTCTAGAGTCTGAGGAGGACGTTGCAAATTGAGCAATCTCCTGCCCATCATATCCCACACGTGCTCAATTGGGGATAAGTCGGGAGATCTTGGTGGCCATGGTAACAATGTGACATCATTATGTTGAAAGAAGTCTATTGTGACTCTTGCAACATGTGGTCGGGCATTATTTTGTTGGAAAGTTGGATCTGCCAGGGTGTCAAGATAGGGTAAAAGATGGGGTTCTAGAACTTCGTGGATATAACGCTGCGCGTTCATGTTACCTCTGATGAAGATTAAAGGTGACCTGGAACCATAAGCTATAGCACCCCAAACCATAACTCCAACAGTGAGATGAACATGTCTTTCAACAAAAAACTGTGGATTCCTCCTTTCACCACGTCGCCTTCTAACCCTGGCACGACCATCGTGAATGCCTAAACAAAATCGAGACTCGTCACTAAAGACAATACTGTTCCATTCCTGATCCCAGAGTGACCGTTGTCTGCACCACTCAAGGCGATTACGTCGGTGTTCTCGAGTTAAAGGGAGGACCCAGTGTGGCCGGTATGAAAACAAGCCAAAACTTCTCATTCGTCAGTAAACACTTCGCATGCCAATAGGTCTTCCGTGTTCTGCAAACCATTCATTTGCAATGGACCTGGTAGTGGAGAAACGGCCCCTTAAGGCCAATAATCTTAGGCGGCGATCTTCACGGTCTGGTGTTCTACGGCGGCGTCCAGTGCCCCTTGCTCTTTGCGTACCGCCTTCTCGAAGCCATGCCTGACAACACCTAACCACAGTGTCTTCACTTCTTTGCACTCTAACTGCAATTGCCTGAAAAGAAAGTCCAGCTTCCCGAAGTCCCACTATACGGCCCTTATCAAACTCACTAAGTTGACGAAATCGTACAGGTCTCCGTACTCTAGGCATCGTAACCGATCGTAAAGGATGTCAAGAACCAAAATCCGCCAACGTTGATTCTTTACTGCGGCTGAAATATTCATTTTTAAGGCGTTAGTGAATTAAAAAAAAAGCAGTATAAGAACCGGAATGTCCAACTGATAAGGCGGAAAATTTTTTCACTTGTTATTTACAGTAAGATAAATACATTCACCAACTTTTATTAAAATAAAACCATTTAAACTGGGTGTTCGGATTTATATGTCACTTAGTACATTTGACATCAATCATCTAGACTAGAAGAAAGTGATACGACCATACTGGGTACTCCATGAATAAGAAAAAAAAGAAAACTGCTGAGATTGCTTCAGCTAAGTCTGAGAGTGATAAAATGGTGGTAACCAAACCAAGTGATGCACCAACGGAAACACCTAAAAACAGTAAGTGCCTTAGAACAACAAATGAGGAGCTAAAACAGGAAATAAAAATATTATGTGAAAAAGTTAATTCATACTATTAATAGAAAAAGGTAGATTGATTGAGCAACTTGTGAACGAGAACACTAGATTTCAAGATCAGCTGAATTTATTGTCGACAAATATTACTGAAAAAGAAACTGTAGTTGACGCGCTCAAGAAACTGAATACTAGGATTGTCATAATTGAAAAATCAAGTATAACAAGCACTTCGTATTCGCAAATTGTAAAAAAGACCTATGCTACAAAAAGCAAGGAAATCCCATTGAAAAGTATAGTGATTATACCAAGCCAGCAACAAACAAGCCCCAAGACGCGTAAAGATCTAGACAAAAACTTAAGCTTAAACTTTAGACCTAAAATCAAAATCGTGGGCTACCATACAGATGAACGAATTACCGAAGAAGAGGTAATAGAAGACATCACAAGACAGAACCATTTCATAGAAAAAGAAGATATTAAGATAGATTTTATTAAGTATATTGCACAAAAAAAAATTATATTATTTACGCAGAGGTCCCAGGTAATTTAAACAGATTTTTGAAGATTATAATGAAAAAATTCTATTAGTATTTCAAAATGTATCTGTATACAAAAATAATGAAGTGTCTCAGTGCACAAATTGTTTCCGATTTAATCATTCTGGAAAAAAATGCCAAAATCCCAAAGTCTGTGCTCAGTGTGGAGAAAACCATGACACTTCCTTTTGTAAGCAGGCACATTCGGAATGTTGCAAATGTTTGTATTCAAATCACCAGTATAAAAAATCTTACAGTACCGATCATCTTCCGACAGACAAAAATTGCCCAGTGTATGAATTCTTTCAACAAAGACATCTCTCACGAATTTTACTTTGATCATTTTAGAATTACTTAGAATACTCAAAATCTTTTCTAAATTATATACGATTCAAGAAATGGTGATTCTTTTTCGTGAGTTCAAAGAAAAACACGATTTCTTGACAATGTTCAAAGATGACACATTTCAATGGAGGTTGGCTTATTTAACTGACATATTTGACTCCTTGAATGAACTAAACTTGAAACTTCAAGGCAAAAACAACACTATAATAAGCAATTATGATTATATTCAAAGCTTCAACTTTGAAATCAAAAATTGTCTTCTGAAAATGTTATATCTTTTTCTCGGCTGTTCTAGGCAATTAAAAATAACATACTGGACGCAAATTTAAAAGCTGACATAAAAACTCATTTGCAAGCGCTGGAAGACGAATTTCGCCAATACTATCGAGACATCAATTCAGAGACACCAATATGGCACACGACAAGAAATCCATTTGTTGTCGATGTGTCACAATTACCAGAAGAAGTTCAGGAAGAATTTCTAGAAATGAAGGCTGACTCGTCCATGAAAGATGACTTCTATCTTTTAACATTGAAGACATTTTTTCTTCAACTTACTTATGTGAGACAGGGTTTTCTGCTTTAGTTTTAATTAAAACTAAACAGCGAAATCGTCTAGATGTCGATAGCGACCTGATGATAGCTCTGGCAAAAACAGAACCTAGAATCAACCAACTGGTACAAAACATGCAATCTCATGTGTCTCATTAGTACCTACTCTTATTTTAGTCAAGTTTTTCGATAAAAAAACATTTATTAGGTTAATTAAGCTTTTAAAGTTTCTGTATAAGAATTAAAATAAAAGTATTTGTACCTGTATAATGTGCGTTTTTGTGTATTTATTGAAAAAGTAAAAGGGAGCATAAAAATATAATTTATAGTCCAGGGAGCCTCAACAAAAAAAAGGTTGGGAAACCCTGCTGTAGAGTCAATAATGGGGTATCTGAAGACGTAAACTGTTCAAATAAGGTGAGTGCTAATTTTATTTATATATTATACAGTTTCAATTCAAAACCTTTATTGTATACAAATTATGTTAGATCCTTAAATAATATGAATGAGAATTTGTTACTTAATCACGTCAAAATGACTGAAGGACGTTATTTAGAATTGCATGATAGAAGCGAATTTCATGGTAATTAATACCGCTTCTAGTTGTTTGTATACTTTGTAGAGGTAAATTTAACTTGTGGGCCTCACGCGTGTTGTATCTGTGTATATCACTGTGCGGTGTATACAAATGGCGATTTCTATGGATTTATGTAACGTTATCATATACAAACATGATAGGGTTAACATTTTCAGTTGGATAAAATCATCTCTACATGAATCACTGAATCCTAAACCAGAAATACATCTAGCACAGCGTCTCTACATTGCAAAAACTTTTTTGCATACGTGCTGAATGACTCCAACTGGCGAGTGCGTAGGAGATCTTAAAATGGAACAGCAACATTGATGCTGTTCATCACTACCTGCAATCCAATCGTCCCGCCGTGCTTTTCTTGGCGGAGACAAAACTCTCAGAGACTGCACCGATTAACCATCTCAACTTCCCAAACTACGAGGTGCACTCCAATCTGAGAAAGAACGGGGGAGTTGTGGCTTTTGTCCGCAGCAGTCTTTCCTGCTCCAGGGATCTTTCTTTGGAATCAGACCGGAAGGACATTCTGTGGCTTCGCCTCAACTCCAAAACATCACCCAAATTTATTTGCTGCCTTTAT